ACCTCTACCCCTCCTAACTCCTGTTTCTGCCTCTAATATGTCTCTGACTAGACCTTCATGCCTGAGAAGGTGTCCTACCAACCTATCTCGCCTATTTTTTATTGACTTCCATAGAGTCCTCTGTTCTCCTATTCTTTCCAATACCTCTTCATTTCTAGCCTTTTCTACCCACGTTATCCTCATCATCCGCCTATAACACCACATTTCGAAGGCTTCTAACCTTTTCGTTTCCGCCCCGCCCACTGTTCATGTTTCGCACCCGTACAGCGTCGCCCTCCAAACATACACCTTTACCAGCCTTTTTCGAATTTCTAAATTAACCTTTTGCGAGCATAGAAGTGACTTCTTTTTATCCTCAATAAATAATAATAGAATAATCAGAAAAACTTTTAGAACCAATTTCGCTTAGACCAGCATTTTCACTCATTTTTTAGACACATATTTAACTAGGCAGAAATGTATTTATTATAAACCCAAGGTTTGATGTAAAACAACAACACCTGTATATGTTGTAGCTCACGTTTGCTTTCCTATCGAAAACAAAGGACCACTTTAACCGAAATGACTAATTTGCACGGTGCAAAATTACCACGTTTAATGTGTTTGCCCTTAATCGCTACATGTGTTTTACCCCAATTCTCCCGTGCAAGGGGCACTTGATATGTTGACAGCAGAAACCAAGTAAATAAATTGATTAGCACGAAAAAATAAAGTTCCAGCATATTAACAAGAAACATTTAACCGTTACACTTCAGTTTTAGTAAACCTTTAGTTTGATTTCATATATGTAATATGTTTTTAGCTTAAACATATGTATGCACATTAAGTTTTTCTGTTTCCTTACCTCAAATGGAACACTTATAATTCTTTTAACTAAAATTATTTGTTAAGTTTTTAAGTAATTAGGGCAAATATGGTAAAAAGGTACAGAACTGTTTTGTACTTACAAATAATAGGTACCGGTATAGAGTATTTAGAATTTTTCTGACGTTGCGTTATAAAACAGTAAAGACTTTGTGAACAAAAAAGTAACATTGGCCAAACATAACGAACGTTATCAACTAGAGTAAAGAAACATAGATCTATATAGAAAACATTATAAATTCATCATTTTTATTTTGATTTATTATATAAAGAACAGTCATCAGGATTAAAACACTTCCGCCCAAATGTGGATGTAATCCACTGATAGTTATATAAAACTTTAATACTTCAGCTTAAAGTATTCTCTTATAAAAAAATAATGGTAAACTAATGAAATACATGTATCGTATGTAACTGGAAGAAAAATTTGTTTCGATAAAATAAAAGCCTGAACGATACCTTCAAACTGCCAACAAGCAAAATAGCAATTTGGTAGGTCCAAAGGTTTGAAAACTGCAATGATTTATTAATTTCTTGAAAACAGGAATGTACACAGTTTGTACATACATGTAGTAGTTTGCTATCATTTACTATTCATAACAGACTGCTTATAAACTTGGTTATTTCGACGGATCACGCTACAGTAGATACACATTTGACCCAGTGACACATTTGCAAGTTATACATTAATGATACAAAATGGCTCTGATGTGTAGTTAATTCATTGTATTATGATAGAAATGTAAGGAGGGAAGGGTGAAATTAATTGTTGTATACGCGTACTCTCCATTCCATTTTATCTATGCTTTCCAACATATACTTTTGTTGTTTTTTTCGCTATTTTCAAACGAATTTTTCACCCCAAATCCACTTCTAGATAATCCTCTGAGCGAAATAATTATTCATAATTTTCTTTGATTTCGTAAAAACACATTTTCATCGAAACAAATGCCAGCATCAAATACGTAGTACCCTTGTACGACACCCTACCATACAAATTTAAATTTATTTAAACTGCTATAAAAAGCGAAATTTTTCACCGCTAACCTTGCACCCGTTTTGTTCAAAATGTATAAATTCATTTTTTTTTTCGATTTTTCTCCCTAATTATCGCGTTAAAGAAGTGCACACGATAAAGTTTTTTTTCCAAGAAGAAGTAAATATTTTTCCTCTAACGCATCTGGATTATGAATGATAGAACTACCTTGTGGTTAATATTTTCGGCATTTCTATTTATTTTAGTGTAAATATGTGTACATGTATGTGTGTAGTGTGTTTATGTAGTGATTCCCTACGTCATGCAATCGTTTAGTTACCCTTGTTATTTTGCTTAAAAGTTCTAAATAAATCTTTTTGGTTTATAAAAAATATTCACATGAAAATCAGTATTCAACTTTACGAATATTGAAATATTACAGCATAAAAAATCACTCGACAGTATCATCAGTAATGTTTAAAGACATATTAGAAGCAGAAGCAGGAGTCGAGAGGGGTAGAGGTAGTCGTAGATCAGATTACCTACTGCTGGCAAACAGCTATTAGAGATGTAAATTGTTCTAGTTTTAAAAAAATGAGGAGATCGACTTAAGATAAGAAGAAGTTGGAGCGCATGTCCAAGAAGTAGTCAGACTAAAGACTTCTGATGATGATGATGATACAAAATCCAATAGTAAATTATTCACCAGTAATCTTTGAAGGAAGAGGTCGAAACACATTTCACCAGTTACTTTAACTAATGCGATTGCTTTTCGGGCAGAAAAAATAATTATGATTGATGGTTGTGGCAAATTATCCTTACAGTTTAGACTAGGTGTCAAAAGCGAAGCAAGAAAAGTTAAAAACCAAATCGACACGATGACATCAAAGATAAACTCGTATAAATCATTACGAGAGAATTGAACCCCAACGAATAAGTGATTTATACTTTTTGTAGAAGCTATAGAAGGATATTTTATCACCTAGTGAAAAGAACGTAGACAAAATACTTTCTTGAAACGTGAAATTTTTTTCATAATAATTAATTATTGTTTAATATACTTTATATTGGTTATTGCTATTCTTATTTCTTTATTGAAATTAGTTACCTATATCTATACAAAATAAATGTTTTAATATTGTCTTAACAAATATAATACTAGTTACGTTTGAGGCAGGTTGGAAGTTGACTTCATAAATTGTTAAACAGTAATTTGAAGGCATGCATGAAAACTCTAAACTGTGTCTAATTGTCTTACACACAAATTCACACCTTTGCACGAAACTCTTTCTGTTAAATGTGTATTTACATCTAATGCAATAAGCACTAAAAGGCAGTGCATCATTGGTTGTAAATGAACTTCATAACGGCCTCAGTTTATAGCATCTTAAAAAACTTTGTAACGCAGAAGTTTGTGCAAAATGACATTAAAGTACTTCATCAAAAGAAATGGGTAGTTTTGAGGCAGATAAACGACACTAATCTATACCATATTTCTTTCATCTCCTACCTCATCGTAAATAAAGTTATCTATTTCCTCCAACGGTCTTCCATAAAGTTTCTTTGGAAAAGGTTCAAACTTGGCTGGCAATCTTGCCCCGTCCTCTACTGTAACTTTTCCTTTGGGCTGAAATCCGTATTCCTTCACCAATTGCACTGTCTTCTTTTCTAATCGTTCCAACGATTCCCTCGTAAACGGTTTAACTTCGGCCTTACTCTTGGGCTTGAGCGGCTTTAACGGATCCGATCTCTCTTTCCGTATAGTCAAGTCCGTGAACTTCGTGTCTACACCGGGAGGGTAGGAGACCGGTCTCCGCGCCTTTTTCTCGGACTCTTCGGCGGAGTCCAAAACTTTCGCATCGTGCAATGATCGACTACCGGTTAAAGGTGATTGACCTTTTCGCGCAGAAGACTGTGGTATAGGAGGAGGTGACGAAGATGAGAAGGAAGTGGAGGCGGCTGCAGCAGGGTATACCGGCGGCGAGGACGAAGAGCTACACGGGGGCGGTTGCGATTTCGGGGGTTTGTCGGATGACCCTGACATCTTCCGACTTATCAGTTGTTTTGTCGGATACGGCGAAAAGCCGATACTTCGTGCGCGTAATACGGCATCTCCAAAGGACGCCGATACACTGAGCGAGCCCGGCGGAAAACCGACGACGCCGCGTCTACAGGACACGGTGCGGCGTCGCCACAGCAGCGACCCGCTGTGTATATCAACAACCGCAGAAATCAATTCTTTATTAGCCTTTTGTTGTTTGTTGAAACTAACCACGGCTGCTGTAGATCGCCATTACTGCTTTGTTGGTATTCCGGAAATTATGCTGAAAATTCTTATTCCTTGCGAAAAAAAGACGTCATTGTTTAAAAACATGTGCATAGGTAGTTAGACACTCAACCAAGTTCGGAAAAGAGAAAAGGGTGATACGGTTGGTGAGCAACTTTGGATTGCTTTCGAAGGGGTCATAAGTACGACATCTACATACTTGCAATTTTATAGATTTGATAAGACCCTGTTGATCACCCATGAATAAACCCATGATAGTTCTAGAGTTATTAAGGTCACCTATCAAAAATCTAGACCACTTCTAGATTTGAAAACTTCAAGACTTGAAAATTTGAAGGCTGTTGTAGATAACTGGGTATAGATATGGAAGAGAAAAATTTGAAAACTACAAATTATCAGTTTTGGACATAGTTATTGGTGCGGCTAGTTGGTTACGTGAAATATGAGCGGCTGCCAAGTTCCATACAAGGTGTAATCTAATAACGTTCTTTGATATTGAATTTATATCTTCGCAGCCTTCTTTGAGGAATCGTGGTAATCATTGGGTGGTGGTTGGGGTAAAAAAGGTGAGATGGACGAAATATAGACAGAAGATACTGAAAGATTATCTGTGGAATATTACTGCCCCAGCATATGCCTATGTGATCCAAAGACATCATAAAAATAAATTACATAAGAACAAACAGGCCGAAATCGAACAGGAGTATTCCCGAATGCTAGGAAATGTCCTAAACGTCTAGGCCATCTGCTTTTTTTTTTGTTTAGATTTTCCTCGAGGAGGGGAAGAAGACACCCCGCGAAAAAGGGTAGTGTGAGATTCGCCAAAGCATCTAGTGACTAAAGTCCTTCCTCGAGTAGGGAGATCAACCCGAAGGTTATACATTCCACGGAAGGATTTGCGGAAAAAGTTTGGGAGCAAGAAGGTGATTGACTTTAGGAGAGGAATAATTTGAGGAGGAAAGGTGGAACGAAAATTGGTGGCCCACCTCGCGCTAAAGAAGCGAAACTACTAATGAGCGGGTGGGAGCAGCTCAACAAGGGGTAAATGAGTGCGGAACGAAGGATCCGCATGTAAGTGCATCGGAAGATTGGTAGGTGGTAGGAATGAGCACAGCCCCAGATGGGAATGACGTAGGAGCAGCTGCTCTTGATAATTGCGTTAAACGCATGGATTTTTGTTTGGTGGGAGATGAAGTTGTTTTGGAAGAAGGGCTTAAGGCAGGTGAAAACGCCTAATGCCTTAGAACTAGTGGCTAAGATGTGTTTCCGCCAAGTGAGTGACAGAATGTCTCCTTTTGATGAGGTGGTTGTTGGCGTTGGTAGGGAGTGACCTTCGGGTTCTACGAGAGAAGAATAATGTTCCCGACTTGACCTCGTTAATTGAGATTCGGTACATATTTAGGAACAGGGGCAGAAACTTGTTAGTATTTGCGGAGCGATGGAGAACGGTTTAGGCAGAGTTTATGTGGGCAAAGTCATCAGCGTAAAAATCTGTAAGAATCGAGGGATGCGACGGTTCTGCACAGAAGGGGTGATAGCTCGGAGCTTTGGAGAACACCGGCCGTGATGGGTTTTCTTGGAGATAAAGCAGAGCCAACGCGAACACGGTTCTGTCAGAGAGGAAGGATCGGATAACCCCTATTAGGAAATGTATGTGGGGTATTAAGGACGATAGGCTATCCGCTAAAACTTATGGGTGTTTAATTCCCACCATCCACTAATGGTGTTGGTCGTGCAGTCCCTTCGGACTACGCCGGAAGGTAGGGTGGAAGGCGCTCTTCAGCAAAATTCGAAAAAATGATTTCAAATTAATACTCCTTTCAGGAATCTCGAATGCTAAACAATGATCTAAGCCTCTAGGTCATACCCCCTTTTAAGATCTCTATGACGTAAATCCAGAAGCCTCAATCAAAAAATGGGTTAAATAAATTACAACTCCTTTAGGTAACACATGCGTGCATATTGTATTCGATTCTCAAGGTCTCGGAGTTTAATTTAACCGCAACCGTAAATTGTTGATGAAATTATAGTCTTAATCGTTAGTGGCTTCCCATTTACCTGTCAATGTCGCCTGTACTACTTACGATAATGAAAACATCTACACCTACCCTGAAAAAGTTCAATTGGAAAATGCCGTTGTTTTTTATTGGCCAAAACGTAACTAACAGTAGTACGTTTACTTTGGAAAGGATTTTATAGGTCATTACAGTCGAGAGAGTGTTTTTATTTGTTCTTTAAATCGTCCCCTTAAATTAACCAAATTGGACATTCCAGATGAAAGAAGAATTCAACTGAATGGGATATCGCTAAAACCCGATTTGGTCACAACATTCACAGTGACCCTCAGAGGTAATCAGACCTTATTCACAAAGTGCATCTGACGTGGTAAAATTTCGTGGAATAGATTCGATGTCTATCATTATGTCCTTTAGTGTAATACACTCACGAGACGCCACTGATTAAATATGTTATAGAGACTTACTTAGAAAGTATAACTCGGCCGTGATTTAAATTAATATTCTACATGTTTGTAGTACGCTATGTTTGAAATTTTTCTAATATGTCCTTATTATGTTGTTAGGAACAAGTTGAATAGCGACAAGGTTGTTGTGCCTCCAGGGATTACTAATGCAGNTGTAAATAATATGTGAATATATATGACAAACAACCAGAAATTCTGAAAAACTGGTTGGATTCTAGTTGGAAGTCGATCTTCTAATACTTAATCATTTTTATCTTCAATTGCTACCGCGCTTATTCGATAAGTGTGCGCAAGATCCGTAAAACATCAGAAAATACTTATATACCTACATGTGCAGCATCATTAAGTTCCTTATCGTCCCGGATTTCCTTACGAAGGATGTTTCTATCTGAACTAGATATCTTATTTTACTGTACGAGTCCTTTACTTCAACTTATCTATTATCTATCGACTGCATAATGTAACATCGTCCAGGGGAATATGAGCCCGTACAAATTAAGGATTAATTGACGATAAAAAGGAGGAAGATTAAATACTTGAATTTTATGATTATTTTATTATCTATGTTTGATTAAAATGATGGGTCAATAAAGTATAAGAGGACCATTAAATGATTCTGTATTTTCTTAAATTTACTAGTTTTTTGTCCATCTTATTAACCCGTCAATGTTACAAATTTGTTAATAAAAAACGTTTTGTAACAATCACCATTCTATCATAAGAAATGCGTTAAACAAAGATTAGTGATGAGCAAAATCTAGTCTTGCAGTCTTAGTCTTAATCTAAAGTAATACCAATATGCAAGACCGAGTCCAAATACACAAGACTAAACGAACAATGATTACTTTCGGTGGATTTATGAGTTAAACCATTTGAAGCAACTTTAATATATTCTTTTCTTGAAATATCTAGGAAGTCACGTGAGTCAGGACGGAAGGAGTACCTAATAGGGATGTAATTAATTCGAAAAAGGTTGTTAAAGGTGTACGTTTGGAGCATTGGAGTATGTGGTATTACAGGCGAATGATGAGGATACCGTGGATAGAAATGGTTAGAAATGAAGACGTGGAGTAATGAAAGAATAGGATAACAGAGCACTCTATGGAAGTCAATAAGAAATAGGCGAGATAGGTTGATAGGACACCTTCTCAGGTATGAAGGTCTAGTCAGAGGCATATTATAGGCAGAAACGGAAGTTAGGAGGGGTAAAGGTAGACCTAGATTGGATTACTGTTCACAAATAGTTTTAGGGAAATGCGAAAATTACGTCAGGATAGGAAAGGGCTATCTTTAACCTATTAGAGGCCCTGGGCACATAAGCCTACCGGGGCCCCTACAGCTTTGACAAAGAATTATTTGGCTTGTTATTTGTTTCTTTACATTCATATAAATGAATAGATAATTGTAATATGACTCGAAAAAGTAACTCTAATATCATTCTTAAGTTGGTACTTAAAATTGTGTTTTTTGAAAACGTACTCTTCTAGTTTTCAGATATGCAAAATCGTTAACCAGTTGTTCAAACTCTTTGTCTTTGAGCATATCCCATTCTATGGACTGATCAATCTTTCTTGAAGCATTGTTCGTCTTAACTTATTTTTTATTCTTTTCCGTTTAAAGAAGGAGCGTTCGCCACTACAGTTAGTTACCATCATGTTTAAAAAGATTCTCAATGCAATTTCTACATTTGGAAATGTCTCTCCAACTCGGTTTTTTATCAAAACTTCTGGAATACCATTAGTTTGCCAAATACAGACATTCTATTTCTAACTCTTTCTCGTTAACATCTTCATACCAGCAATTCTTTGCAACAGTGTCTCGGGATTTGGAGTTTTCAAGCGAAAACCAATGTCTACAATAACCAATGTCCTTGTACAAACTCAATCGCTGTTTTAGATGCACGCTTGGGATATCACTTATGGGAAGTAAGGTATTTCTACTTTAATATCTCTTCCCAACTCAGTTGGACTATCGGTGCAGAGTCATCAAAAAATGTCTGGCGCCAACTTCTAAGTCTTATTCTTTGAGACAAGTCCTTATAGTCAGATTCTGTATTTTGCTCTTTGGAGAGGGATTCGAAGTAATAAAATTTCAAAATATACAAATGTTTGAAGAATCACCTACATTTAGGTATGCTCGCGTTTATAGCATGCAAAAGCGATTATGCAAGTAAATATTCTAACAGCAATTATTGATTAATTGTCTTAAAATAATTATCGGCTTTTGGTTGGCGGATGGATCTGGCAGGAACTATATAGGGGGCCTCCGTTGATCGTGGGGCCCTGGGCACTTGCCCAGAGTGCCCAATGGAAAAGAAGGGCCTG